GTAATAAGTACTTTTTGTATGTATAATCTTATTTAATCTACATGTCCACCCGCCAAGGTAGGAACTACTATTATTATTCCCATTATGCAGAAGAGAAATGAAAGCAGACAGAGGTACTCAAAAATCTGGTTGAAATGACCGATAACAAAATTAAAATAACTATAAGCTTCAAAGGAAGTATTACATTGTTAGCAATAAGTACACTTGACCCTTGAACAATTCGGAGGTTAGTGGGGCCAACACCCTGTGCTGTCAAAAATTCGCCTATAACTTTCACCTCCCCCGAAAATGTAGCTTATAATTGCCTACTGTTGACCAGAAGCCTTAGTGATAACATGAACAGATGATTAACACACATTCTGTATGTTTTATGTATGGCACACTGTATTCTTGCAATAAAGTAAGCTAAAGAAATGAAAATGCTAAGAAAATAATAAGGAAGAAAATTTATTATTAAGTTGAAGTAGGTCATCATAAAGGTATTTTTTTCTCATCTTCTTCATATTAAGTAGTCTGAGAAGGAGGAGGAAGAGGCGGGTTTGGTCTTGCTATCACAGGAGTGGCAGAGGTTGGAATAGGTGGAAGAGGTGGACGAGGTGGAAGAGGAGGCCAGAGAGACAGGCACAGTTAGTGTAATATTTACTGAAAAAAAATCCACGTGTAGATGGACCTGCGCATTCAAACCCATGTTGTTTAAGGGTCATCTGGATACAAAAGCTATAATAACTGCCAGGATATGGTCATTTCTTAAGGTAGGCAGTTTTGAGATTAATAAAAAGTGTGTATGCCTGCCCTCATGCCCACACCTGAGAACATATGCAGATAAATCAGGTTATGATCCTCAAGCAAATAAGAAGAAAAAAACCTGATAAATTATAAATAAAGTAGAAATAAACAGGCAAAGCAATTCCCATGTCTTCGTCACCTTCGTGATGCCAGCCGGCTACAGCTAGAATATTGGCATTTTTAAAGAATCATGGTTTCTGGAAATCATTTGTTACTAAGTGATGCCTTATATGAATAGGAGTCATAGGACACTGGCAACACAGCTTAGAAGCAGCTTCTTTCCACAGGGGGCTGCTCACTGTCACTGTCACCAGCATGATGGTGTCTTTGAAACTGTGACAACTCTAGGGTCATGCAGCCATATCTTTCAAATATTTCCTCTCAGTACCTATTGCACAACTCTCAACGTGTAAACTTAGTTGAAAAAAAAAGGTTTTGAGATTTTAGATTAAAGGGCATCTATGTTCATTAAAGAATACATTCATCACCAAATTTTAAAAAATGAGAGAAAGAATAAAACCATTTAGGTAACAACACATAACATAACCACTAATGAAGTGTGGTTATATCTTCTTATAATCTGTTTTCTCTGCATCAAACTGTTTATTTGTTTATGCAAAACAGATGAATAACTTTGCCAGAAAGAGGATAACTATAAATTTGATAGGCACATGCCTCTCAAATAATGTAGGAAGACTATTATCATGCAGACTTACTGAGTCTGACTTATATAATAAAATAATGTAACAGAAAATCTCTAGCCAGCCTTCTACATAGAGAAGAGTCACAGGGCTACAAGCTGATGCCACCAATATATACAACATTGATTTATATTATAGGAGAAAGGGAATTTAATAAAAGAACACTTTTATTAAAACTTTGATAAATGGCAAAGATTTACATAAAGTTTTAAGAGATACAAATATGAAGAAAATACAGATTTGAAATTCATAATTAATAATATAAGAATTGGTACCTGGTTGTAATTTTTACAATGTTTAGCTTTAAAAAGAAGTGGAAAGAAACGGCTACTTCCCAGATTAAAAAAAAAAAGGTTGCTGGCAAAATATTTATCCAGTCTTACGCTGCCATCTCACTTGATCTCTTGACAGAGAAGACTTGCTCAAGTTTAATAATTAATGGTTTAGTTTAATAATAATAATACTCTAATAATGGTAATATGAACAATGATAACTGTAATTTATCAATTTCTTCCTATGTTCTCTCCTTTGTGGCACTTCATTTTTCCACCAAACCATGTGAATTAAATACTGTTTTAATATCATTTTAAAGAAAAATTCTAGTGGCAAATCACAGGCAACATCTACTCTTGAAGAACTGGCCATGCATGTGCCCAGATGGACAGAAGTAGTTTATGGAAAGAGTAGCTAAGCACTCTGAAAGATTTTTCCATGAGGTCCTATTTTCCCTGAATCATAAACCAAAGATAATTCAGAGGTAAATTATTCAAACCACTTGTCTCTTCAGAACTCATTTGCAGTTAAATTGATAAGACATTTTATTATAGCTCTTCACATTTTCCAAGCTACTTTTGCTGTATTTTGCTATAACCCTTGAGGTAGATGAGTATTGTTATCATTACATGGATGAAAATGTACCTTGATCATTAAGAGTTATAGTGTCAGACTTCCTGAGTTTGTTCCCTGACTTATTCACTTAATAGTTATGTGCATTTAGACAAGTTGTGTACACCCCTCAATATTCTCATTATGAAGATAATGGAAGTAACTACATCATAGGTTTGATATGAATACTGAATGGAATAATACTAGTAAGGCACTTAGGACATAGTAAGAGCTCAATGTATGTTAGCTCTTATTAAACCTATTTTACAGTTGAACAACCTGAGGCACAGAGTCCAAAGTCACAGACAGAGTAAGTGTCAGACCAAGAATTCATAGCTCTGACATTTCCTTCAAAATTGTTGTTCTTCCCCACTTCTCATTCTAGCTGTCTCCAAACTTGACTTGTAGACCTCAAGGCAAGCCAAGGCCAAAGAATTATTTCAAATGATCCTTAAGTTAATATAAAATAGCAATAATAACAGTGCCTAACTTTTGTGGAGCACTTACTATGTTTTAATCACTGCGCTAAATTCCTTACACATATTATCTTACTTAATCCTCAAAATCCTATTTAGATGGATGTTATACGTCCTCCTTTTACAGATGAGGAAAGTAAGACCAAGAATAGTTAAGTGGTGAAGTAATTGCCAAAGAACACACAGCTACTTAGTTCTTAAGCCAAGAATCAAATTCAGGCAATATGGCTTCAAAGTTCAAGTCTTTACCATTCACCTTCATCTATTAACTAAATAACTGACATCATCTTATCACTAGAGTTCATCATGCTTAAAAGCTGGACATACTACATTGCCCTCCACCATCTCATCATCAAAGAATACCAAATGCGGTATGTTTTTGTAAGCACACATTCCCACATGTTTACAACATTGGCTAATTTAGGGAACCTATGTTCCTTATTTGCTTCTGGAGTGTGTAAGATAAACTATCACCATAAACCTAAGAGATTAAATGAAATTATTGTCTTTCATGCTTTAAATTAGAATGTGCCTTCATCTAGGGTGTTAAACTGCCATTTTCTTTGATTTTATGATTTTTTTTTCAGCATGTGTATTTCTGAATTTCATTAAATATGTATAATGTATGGTTATTTTGCTTTTAGGTTATAATTTGAAGACAAAATAAATATACACATTAAATCAACTGTAATGCAGAATATATTAAATTAGATGATATCTAAGATCCTGATATTAAGATAGTATGCTTCATGGTTTAATTTCACATTATATGTATAACGTGTATATATACCCCCATGGTTTAGAAGTTTAGAAGTTTTAAAGGTATCAAAGAATATTAGTAAAGAATCTTCTGCTTCCTCCTTTCTTCTAACCACAAAATTCACCTTTCCTTCCCACAAGCAACATGTTAGGTTTTGTTTATCTTCCTAGATATATTTACATACATACAATAAAATACATTTATACATTTATATACCTATATCTCCCTCTCCCTGTTTTTATACTTATGTACATTATAAGGCAGGATACTTCCCATGGAATCCTGTATCATGTTTTATTGTTAAGATTGCTCTCTATTGGTACTAAAGGGTTTCCTGTTTTATTATTGATACATATTTTACTACTTTATTAATGAATAATAATTTTTAAATAGTCCTCTATTCATGGCCATTAACTTGTTGCTAATCTTATGTCATAACAAATAATGCTACAACGAATAATATTGCATAGACACCAATTCGCAGGTGTGTGAGCATATCATTTCAGTAGCACAAATTCCTAGAAGTGAAATGCTGGGTTAAAGGGTATGTTTATTTGCAATTTTGATAGATATCACCAAATTACTTCCAAAGGAGTTGTTTCAATTTATAATCAATACTAAATAATGAAAGTGTATATATTGGGTTTTTCATTGATGCTAAGAGCAGGGGATATTAGTATTTATGCTTAACGCTTAAATAAAGTTACACATTGCACATTCTGATGATGTTGGCAGGTGTCTTGGCACCAAAGTTAAACAATATAACCCTTAATTAAAAACCTAATACACTGTCTGTTAATGCACTAGTGATGAGAAAATAAATGTCTTTAACAGCTGCCTAGATTCTAAACAATAAATATATACCCAAAAGTTCAATGCAGTTCTTGGAAGATAAGAATTAACCATCACAGAAGATCATATTTTTCAGTTGTAGAAAAATGTCATTGACTTCAGTGACTTTATTTCCGTAGAATGATTACTTTTTATAGGTAACTGACAAGGAAACTTGTTCACAATTTTCACTTTAAAAGTTTTTAAAAAATCTCAAATGGCAGAGTTTCTGCCAAAAACTTCTTGTAAAATCAATTCTTCCACTTCTTGAGAACCTATTACGTGATCTGATTTCTTTATAAAGGTTGTGTATTGTAATGTGTCCAACAACTCTCTGAGGTTAATGATATCAATTCAACTTTAGGGGCAAAAAACTGTGGCTCATCAATATTAACTAGCTCAGATGACACAACTAACAAGTACTGGTACGTAAGAAAAAAAAGGTCAAGATTTCCCACAAGTACCGTTCAGAAATGAAGTAGAGAAAACATCATTGAATGAATAAATTAAATGTGCGGTAGGTATACGCCGTCCCGTGGCTACCTAAAACAAATGTCTTACCTCAAAAGCAGATGACAAGGAAGGGACTACAGGCTTCAGGTGACCAAATCTGTACAGCATTAGGAACATCAAGCAACGGAGAGTTTCCATAAAAGCTGCCTTGGGTCTGAAATAAAATGTCATTACATGCATTAGGTTTAAATATGCTCTTTATATGTTTACATGTTATAATAAATATAGAGATAAACTTCTCATTCTCAAGAAATACCTAGTATTTAAATATATTTGAAAAGCATATCCCCCGAAGCTATTTGAAAACAGTGATTAAACTAAGAATGAACACTTATCCTTTTAGGGAAAATCTGTTTTTTTGTTTGTTTGTTTTTGTTTTTTTGTTTTGTTTTGTTTTTTTTTTTTTTTTTGAGACGGAGTCTTGCTCTGCCGCCCAGGTGGAGTGCAGTGCCGCCATCTCGGCTCATGGCTCACTGGAAGCTCCGCCTCCCAGGTTCATGCCATTCTCCTGCCTCAGTTTCACTAGTAGCTGGAACTACAGGCATCCGCCACCACACCCAGCTAATTTTTTTTTTTTTTTTTTTTTTGTAATTTTTAGTAGAGACGGGGTTTCACCCTGTTAGCCAGGATAGTCTCGATTTCACGACCTTGTGATCCGCCCGTCTTGGCCTCCAAAAGTGCTGGGATTACAGGCGTGAGTCACTGCCTCCAGCCCGGGAAAATCTGTTCTTTTTTTTTTTTTTTTTTTTTTTTTTGAGACGGAGTCTGGCTCTGTGGCCCAGGCTGGAGTGCAGTGGCCGGATCTCAGCTCACTGCAAGCTCCGCCTCCTGGGTTCACGCCATTCTCCTGCCTCAGCCCCCCAAGTAGCTGGGACTACAGGCGCCCGCCATCTCGCCCGGCTAGCTTTTTTTGTATTTTTTTAGTAGAGACGGGGTTTCACCGAGTTAGCCAGGATGGTCTCGATCTCCTGACCTCGTGATCCGCCCGTCTCGGCCTCCCAAAGTGCTGGGATTACAGGCTTGAGCCACCACGCCCGGCCGAAAATCTGTTCTTTATCAACATATTGCTTAGTTTGAGCATTGATGAGTTATGAAGTTTATTTTCAGCTAATAAAATATTAGGCAACTAAATTTCTAGGGTTTAAAGTGAGACTCTTTTCACTGATTTAATGTCTTCACACTTCATTCATTTAAAAAATGAGTAGTTAGGAGAACTGATATAGTTAACTTCTCTAAAAAATGAAAAGTCAAATATCAAAGTTTTATATTTATTTTTTAAACTACACTATAAAGTTACAGAATATACTGATATTTTACCACTCTGGAAAATTCCTGAATTGAGTAAAAGTAAAAACAATGCAAGAATTTCACTTCTTGCCTTTGATCCAGAAGAAATCCAATGGAAGTCAAGGTCAGGATAATGAAGCAAACTCTTAGAAGGAGAGTCACTTGTGACAGTGCCTGTCAAACAAACACAGAGATCAATGGAGCCGTTAGGAGAATTGTTAAAAGGTATAAGAATAGTCAAAGCTGACAAAACAACCCAAATTTTATGTCCTATTACACCACTTGTCATTGACACTTTACAGAAAGTTTGACTACACAGAAAACATTTCGGTTTTCTTAAAGCCGTTTAGTTCCTTGTTGGACAGTTGGAGAAGTAATTAGACAATTCCATAATGATATTTTGCTTAAAGTGTTCATCATCATTTAAAATTCTCCTTTAAAGTTTTGACTTTTATAGTTTTTTGCAGCACGTGGATCCCCCACATATGGATAAATTACTCACATTTTGATGAATAAATACTGTATTCTAATAGCTATTTTTAGTATAACAAAATCTTTGTGGTTTCAAATACAAAGTTTTCTCTAGTATAGAAAATATTTAAAGGAGATTGTGTTTATGAGTGAAAACATATATATAAAAGAAATTACACACATACGCTCATATTTTATTCAATCTACATGCTCATATATATATGTTAAAAGCTATCTTTTTAATGCTTAAACATTAAGTATTAGTGTGCTCTTCATGTTAATATGGCAGAGTTTTGTAAACTAATTAAAACTTACTGATATATTGGACTTTGAGCCAAGGGAAAGAATGAGTACTATCTTTCCAGGTATCTTAAGGGTAAAAGCTTATTCTAAGACAGTCAGTCCTTTGAGATTATTAGATTTCTGACTTGCAAATATGCTTTGTGCTCCAGAAGAATTAGAGGAAAAGCAGATATCAGAATTCTAATTTAAGTACATGTACAGCAGTCTTTGTTTAAAGTGTAAAATTCTTTATATTATGTATAAAAACTAATTCTTTTGGAAAAATTAACCATTTACAGCTTGCTTTTGGACTCTGAGTCAAAGGATTTTTTCCTTTAAATGTTTGTCTCAATTTTAGTCTGGTCTTTTGTACTTTTCTTCAGAAAAAATGAATTAAAGGGTACAGTTGCATAAAGTGAGTTCTTATCCCAATGTACTGGAAATAAATGATAAATTTTTAAAAAATTATCTTTTGAATCATTGTAACAGGAAACATTTTTCTGTCAGAATTATAAATTAAAATGCATTTAATTTACATATTAAAATGTAATAATGTTTATTGAACATCTACTATTTTACAGCTTCTATGGCATGTGTTTCTTGTACTTTAATTTTGTTACATTCCCAATAACTTTGCAGAGTAGTTGTCATTTAAAGGAGACTGTGTTTATGAGTGAAAACATATGTATAAAAGAGATTACACATATACACTCGTATTTGATTTAAAAAAAAAACCAAACTCGGTTTTATTAAAAAAAAAAAAAAAGCGAACACAATCTGGGAAACAAAGGATCATCTAACTTTTTCTATCATTACACAGAAAGTAAATAACGCCTCTGAAACTCAAAATAGGCCTGCCTGATCACAAAGCATGATGATGGTAGAATACATATGAGCAATAGGTTTAAAGGGGCTAATGGCAGAAGTCTAAATTGAGATTATATAGTCAAAGCTTAGAGTCAGGTGAACGTGACTTCAGATTAAAAGTGGATCAGTAAATTCAAAGTATTTGACACAGCTCCTGGATGAGTTCCCTACTCATTGGTGGAGTTTAAGTTCCATCTTTATGAAAACCCAGAGGTGTAATAGAACAGATTGGCTAAAATAGTGCCCAAAACATGATGCAAGCACTCTTTCCTTTTTTTTCCCCTTTGAAATGAATACAAAGAATTTCACCTAATTATTAGCTAATATCCTTATTTGCAATTAAATTGCAACTGTCCAAAGTCATAAACAGTAAACAAAAGTCATCAGTTGCAATTTTTGCTCACATGCAGTACCGTAGCTTCATACCCTCTTAAAAACCACCCCATCTCTCATGGCCAACTTCCTGGAATGGCAGCCAGAATTGTCAAGAGATTTTAAACCCTCTAAAGCAATACGTTAATGGAAGAGTATTGTTGAGTGGTCAAAAACCTGAATATAAAAGTATTAGACTGTTTAGGAATAGGGGCACAATGATAGGTATTATATACAGGATGGGGGAGTCTGTGAAAGCCAGAACGTCTTAGATCAGAGCAGGAGAGTGCTATTCATATTTCGATACGTGCAGGTCAGCGATGTCCACTAAGGAAGAGTGAGACCAAAAACAAACAAACAAAAATCCAAAAATAACAACAACAACAACAAAAAACAGAGAAATACTTTCCTGGTGGTAGAAATCACTAAAGTTTTTTTAGTTACTTTGTTTGAATAAAACGGCTTCTCTCACTATATTGCCTCACTGTGGTTATTGGTGGGGAAAATTTACATAAAAGGGAGAAACGATTTGTGTCAAAATCTACAGTATGATTACAAATGCTCTTTAAGAACATAGAATTTATAATTATTTAAACCTATCATCCATGTAACCATGAGCAAATGATTTGACATTTTAAAGCCTCAGCTATGCGTTTGGTACATTTGAAATAAAATACGCATTTGGCAAGGACTGTAATCTTATAAAATACTTAGAAGAGTGTTTGGCACAGAGTAAAAAAGTCAATTGATGGTCATGGTTAGTGCTATTGTTACTATGTTCAGGAGCTTAGGCTAATCTTAATTAATTACAGTAAGATAAACAACAGAGAAGCATAAATAGAAGGTCTACTAGCTCTTCCAGATGTTATAGAAAATTCAGAGATGGAATACGTACATGTATTTACTTTGGTTAGGAAATGTGTGATACGTGGACAATAGAGATAATTCTCTTTACCAAACTGCATCCTGACTACTGGAATCAGAGTGGAAACCAGCTTGATGTAGGAATCCACCACCCAGTCAATATCTCTAACTGGTTCACAGGCAACTGAAACTCGACATGACTAAAACACTACCTTTGAGCTCCTCCTCTACACCATATATTCCCTAGTTTTTTTCATCTTAGAATATGACACCTCCTAGCCTTCAGTTACTGAAGACAAAAACCTGTGACTGGTCCTTAACTTTTTCTGTCACTGTCTTCTTCTAATACATCAGAGATATATTTAAAATATATCCAGAATAAAACCATGTGTTATAAACAGCATGACTAATACCCTGTTCCACCCCAAGATGTTCTCCCCAACAATTGTTGAAATACTCTCCTAACTGGTCTTCCTACTTCTAAAATTACCTGTCCACCTAACACAGCCCCCAACCTACAGTACGCAGAGTGATCCTTTTAAGCTTAAGTGAGATCATGTCACACATGTTCTAAACCCTCCAGGGGCTCACTCAGAATAAAGCTCGAAGTCATCACTCTAGCCCAACTACACCATACCTCACTCTTAATCCCTAATGATCTTTCTCTCTTTAACTCATAATAAACCATGTCAGAAATGTTCCTGTTCCTGGACATGACAAACGTTTTCTCCACTCAAGTCTGTTTCACCCAGTATTCCTTCTGCTTGAAATGACTTCCCCCAGTGAACACTAGGGCGCATTTCATTCAGGTCTCTATTCAAATACATGTCCTTGTCCCTCCGACATAAAATAGTACTTCTCCATAACTCTCTATAACCATCTTCTGTTTTATTGCTCTTCATATGATTTATCACTTCTATACACTTATATGTTTGTTGGTGCATTGTCTGTTGTCTGTATCCTCTTACTAGGGTGTAAACTCAGTGAAACTTTTTATCTCTTTGTTCACTGTCGTATCCCAAGTGCCTAGAATATAGTATTCAATAGATGTTTATTGAATGACTGATAAAATGAATGAATATTTTATATTTGTGTTTTAGTATTAATATATTAAATGGTAATAATTCTTATTACATTGCTAATATGATATTTTGTGAAAATTGAATCTTTATTTCATTTTTTACAAATTCAAATTTTATTTTAGATTCAGGGGATACATTTGCAGGTTTGTTACATTAATATATTGCCTGATGCTGAGGTTTGAGATAGGAATGATCCCATCACCCAGGTAGTGAGCATAGTATCCAACAATTAGTTTTTCAAGCTTTGCCCCCTTCCTTTATTCCTGACTCTCTTAGTCCCCAGTGTCTATTGTTGTCATCTTCATGCCCAGGGTATCCAATGTTTAGCTTACACCTATAAGTAAGAACTTGCAGTATTTGTTTTTCTGCTCCTTCACTAATTCACCTGGAGTAATGACCTCCAGCTGCATTCATGTTGCTGTGAAGGACATGAATTCTTTCTCATGACTGCATAGTAATCCGTGGTATATATGTAACACATTTTCTTTACCCAATCCACCATTGATGAGCACTTAGGTTGATTCCATGCCTTTGCTATTGTGAATAATGCTGCAATGAACATATGAGTGCACGTGTCTTTTGATAGAGTGATTTATTTTCTTTTGGGTATATAACTCAGTAATGGGACTGCTGTGTCAAATGGTAGTTCTGTTTTAAGTTCTTTGAGAAATCTCCAAACTGCTTTCCACAGTGGCTGAACTAATTTACATTTTCACCAACAGTGTATAAGTGTTCCCTTTTCTTTTTAGCCTCCCTAGCATCTGTTGTGTTTTGACTTTTTAATAATAGTCATTCTTACTGGTGTGAGACAATATCTCATTGTGGTTTTAATTTGCATTTCTCTAATGATTAGTGATGTTGAGAGTTTTTTTTTTTTTTTTTTTTTTTGAGACGGAGTCTCGCTCTGTCGCCCAGGCTGGAGTGCAGTGGCGCGATCTCGGCTCACTGCAAGCTCCGCCTCCTAGGTTTACGCCATTCTCCTGCCTCAGCCTCCTGAGTAGCTGGGACTACAGGCGCCCACAACCGCGCCCGGCTAATTTTTTGTATTTTTAGTAGAGACGGGGTTTCACCGTGGTCTCGATCTCCTGACCTTGTGATCCGCCCGCCTCGGCCTCCCAAAGTGCTGGGATTACAGGCGTGAGCCACCGCGCCCGGCCGTTGAGAATTTTTTCATGTATTTGTTGGATACTTGCATGTCTGCTTTTGAGAGGTGCCTGTTTATGTTCTTTGCCCACT